TAATGGATGGTGTTAAGTCACTTAGCGGACTCCTTTATATTTGTTCCTCTTGGTTTTTGAAACCTAGGTAGTGATGTGAGTGAGGGTCACTTCTTTTTTCTTCACATCTAGTCTTTTTCAATTAATGGACTACACTTATATAACACTTTCGCTATGGACCACTCAAAGCGCTTTACACTACAGCGCATTTTCTATGCATACACACTCATACACCGATGACACATTGGGGGCAATTTGGAGTTCAGCATCTTTGAATTCGACATGTGGACTGGAGGAGCCTGAGACCAAATCACAGACCTTTCCATTAGTGGCCGACCCGTCTACCTCCTTAGCCACATACAGTATACACGGCTAATCACCATTTTTCTGACAAAAGCAAATAGCAAAAATTGTCCGGTCAGTTGTGATCATGTAGCTTCGCCCCTACACAAATTAAATGACACCATATGTACTTCATTGTGTACTAGGCAATACATTTAAGCTAGCAATTGAACGTGGTTCAACAGAAAGGCTGAAACATGGAAATTACTCCACTCACAATGTCGTAGCTTACCTGTCCCATGGAGTACAACAGTAAAAGTGGGGAGGTAAAGGCGGGAGACCCCACGGAGGTGAAGGAAGGGATACAGAAACACACGTTCTACATATTGACTCTGTTAACACAGATTATAATACTACATATTACTGCTGTGTAGTTGACTCTGTTACACAATATGTGATGTATGATATCTGATTTTGTTCCCTCCGCTTGAGGATGGAGGGAGGGGAGGGAGACGAGGGAGGGGAGGGCTCTGTGATTTTAACTAATCTGCTTCCTGAAATCAAAGTGAGGATAACTACTCCGACCACAAAAGATAAAAACGCATATACCTCCTCTCCTCCTGTGATACGCAGCCCATCAGTTCTTCTCCCCTCTTTGTTTGTCTGTTTCCCCTCTGTTTGCTCTCTCCTCAATCTCCACAGTGTGAAATCCAATTAATCAACATACTGTAACGCCTTAGATAAAACCAATACTCGTCCCCTTTATTTCTCATATCGATCTGAAGAGTTTCTTATGTCGGCAAAAGCAGCCTGAAACAACAGCAGACACAACAAAGCTGATTGCACCAAAACACACAAACGGTGCAGAGAACAGCGGTATCGACTGGACTTAACGCAACGATGGTCTCCTTCACTTTCTGGTTTCACTTCGCTTCTTCCCCCCTTTGTTTATTTATTTATTATTTTCCACTAAAAAAAAAAAAAGATAGTACGGAGTCATGGTTTTTCTAAGAGTTGAACTCATGCAGGAGGAGGCAGATGTTCATTTCATGATGTAGAAGCTGTAGAAATGGAGAGGCGGGTCGGCCCCGGTTTGGTCCAGACTGTGGATTACCGTGACGTTTGGTACAAACATTCATGCTTGGGAGAGGATGAATCCCAATAAGTTTGGTGATCCCTTTACTTTTCCTTGAGTGCCACATATAGAGTGAAATGTCTTGTCATGAAATTTGTTACAGAAGATCCTCAGAGGATGAAACATAATGACGGTCTTGCTCCCCTGACTTCATCCTGTGCCAACGGCAGGTCAAAGTTTCGGTGATTGTTCCACCACTTTGGTCCAGACTGTAATATACAATTTTCTATTTTCTATTTTCAAATGTTAGCAGGTGCTCCTGGTCCATAGTGAGTGTACAGTACGGCCCTGCCCTCCACAGCCTGTTGAAGGGAGGCTGGAGTAGGAGGGAGATCTCTCTCACACACACGAAGCAGCCCTCTGACAACATGTTTTTCTTTTGTGTTCTGAGGATGGAGGTCTGGTAGTGCAGTTTTCGGTTTTTGTTTGTTAGTTCAGTTCTTTATTCTGGGTTAGTTTGGGGGGGGGGGGGGGGGGGTGCGTGCTCTGGGTCCTATGGCCCATTGAGTGGCTGAATTAAATCATTTCTATTTAACGGAACCTCAGGTATGGCGTCCTCTTTATATGTAGCTGGTCACAAGGTTGAGCCAAATGTTTTGTTGTGGATGTAACACATTTGGGGGCTCGTCTGGGATTCGAACCTGGGACCTCTTGGATGGAAATCTAAGCTGATCCACATTGTTTTTTATCATTAGCATACTGATGTTAGCATTAACTCAAAGCACTGCTGGCCCTTTAAGTTCAGACAACGACATGTCGCCTGTAGGCAAAAGTGTAGAGATAATGGATAACTGTTTAAATTTGTTTGTTCTTGTTCTTCCGTCTCACAGGCATTGTGTTGTACTCGGTTTTACACCTGAAAAGTAATTGATGAAATTCATGAAAATGAGCAAAAGATGTGTTACATCCACAACAAAACATTTGGCTTCAACCTTGTGACCAGCTACATATTAAAGAGGACGCCATACCTGAGGTTCCGTTAAATAGAAATGATTTAATTCAGCACTCAATGGGCCATAGGACCCAGAGCACGCACCCCCCCCCCCCCAACTAACCCGGAATAAAGAACACAGGATGAAGTCAGGGGAGCAAGACCGTCATTATGTTTCATCCTCTGAGGATCTTCTGTACAAATTTCATGAAAGACATTTCACTCTATATGTGGCACTCAAGGAAAAGTAAAGGGATCACCAACTAATTATTGGGATTCATTCCTCTCCCAAGCATGAATGTTTGTACCAAACGTCACGGTAATCCACAGTCTGGACCAAACCGGGCCGACCCGCCTTCTCCATTTCTACAGCTTCTACATCATGAAAATGAACATCTTGCCTCTCCTGCATGAGTTCAACTCTTAGAAAAACCATGACTCCGTACTATCTTTTTTTTTTTTTTGTGGAAAATAATAAATAAATAAACAAAGGGGGGAAGAAGCGAAGTGAAACCAGAAAGTGAAGGAGACCATCGTTTGCGTTAAGTCCAGTCGATACCGCGGTTCTCTGCACCGTTTGTGTGTTTTGGTGCAATCAGCTTTGTGTGTCTGCTGTTGTTTTAGGCTGCTTTTGCGACATTAAGAAACTCTTCAGATCGATATGAGAAATAAAGGGACGAGTATTGGTTTTATCTAAGGCGTTACAGTATGTTGATTAATTGGATTTCCACACTGTGGAGATTTGAGGAGAGAGCAAACAGAGGGGAAACAGACAAACCAAGAGGGGAGAAGAACTAGATGCTGCGTATCACAGGAGGAGAGGAGGTATATGCGTTTTTATCTTTTGTGGTCGGAGTAGTTATCCTCACTTTGATTTCAGGAAGCAGATTAGTTAAAATCACAGAGCCCTCCCCTCCTCGTCTCCCTCCCCCCTCATCCTCAAGCGGAGGAAACAAAATCAGATATCATACATCACATATTGTGTAACAGAGTCAACTATAACGCAGTAATATGTAGTAATTATAATGCTGTGTTAAACAGAGTCAATATGTAGAACGTGTTGTTTCTGTATCCTTCCTTCACTCCGTGGGGTCTCTCCGCCTTTACCTCCCCACTTTTACAGTTGTACTCCATGGGACAGGTAAGCTACGACATTGTGAGTGGTGTAAATTTCCATGTTTCAGCCTTTCTGTTGAACCACGTTCATTGCTAGCTTAAATGTATTGCCTAGTACACAAATGAAGTACATATGGTGTCATTTAATTTTGTGTAGGGGCGAAGCTACATGATCACAACTGACCGGACAATTTTTGCCTATTTGCTTTTGTTAGAAAATGGTGATTAAGCCGTGTATACTGTATGTGGCTAAGGAGGTAGACGGGTCGGCCACTAATGGAAAAGGTCTGTCCGATTTGGTCTCAGGCTCACTCCCCAGTCCACATGTCGATTCAAAGATGCTGAACTCACAATTGCCCCAATGTGTCAATCGGTGTATGTGTGTATGCATAGAAAAATGCGCTGTAGTGTAAAGCGCTTTGGAGTGGTCCATAGGCGAAAGTGTTATATATGTGTAGTCCCATTAATTGAAAAAGACTAGATGTGAAGAATAAAAGAAAGTGACCCGTCACTCACATCCCTAACCTAGGTTTTCAAAAACCCAAGAGGAACAAATATAAAGGAGCCCGCTAAGTGACTTAACACCATCCCATTTATTATGAGGGAGGCACGAGGCAAAGTGGCACAAACAATCCAACCCATCACATTACACACAAGCAAAATGAAAAGTACCTTAGTGGAGTGAAATGACCAAACGGCAGCAAAGCTTAATTTGGCCCTGAAACACATCACTTATAACACTAGCGCCGTATCTCATCAGAGATCAGCGATGATGTACAGACTCACGTAGACACACAGACAAGCCTGGCTTACCAGGGGAAGACAGCTGTCCAGAATCCTCCATAAATGAGATTAAAACATCCCTCCATCTTGGGAGAAGCAGCAACTCTTGGCTCCAAAATGTGTATTCTGCTGGCCACACCTCCTCACTCTACTTTGTTTATCCTTTTGTGTTAGTGTATATACGTTCTATGGAGAGGAGAGGAGGAGAGAGAGGAGAGGAGA